AACCCCTAGAAATTATTGTCGCATACATTCATTGAGCTGCGCGCCAATTCCAGTTTTTTATGCAATTAAATATTGAACGTCACTTTAGTGTTCAGCATGTTGCAATAGCTTTTTTTAATATGTTTTAAGTTTTTCTTATATTTAACTTATGCAAATCCGTTGCTTGTTTGTTTTTTTAGCGAAGCAACTAGCAATATCTTAGTCTCCGAAATCGGCGACTGACATTCCACTGCCTGTTACATACAGAACTATTAGTTCTCTATTATTTATACCTTTCTTGATTTCATCTTAGTACATGATCAAAACTTGTCTTTGCTTCACTTGACACAAGCAAAAACCAGATTTATATTGCACGAATAACTCGATTGCAATTTTTCTGGGTATAACCCAATGAAAAAACAACAGCAATCAAACAACTTACTAGATAATAATTAATTCTTAGATGGCAAATAATAGTTTCATATTGTTTTGAAATATACAAGACTAATTAGTCACTACATTTACTACAAACTGTGAATTTCCGGTCAAGTTAAAAAGAACTCTGTTTAGAAAATGTAAATAAAAAAATGAATACCGATCAGACAGTTAATGCAAAAGTAATTAGTAAAAGACTTTTCCGGGTCTAAAAGGGTAGAGAAAAGGAAAAACAACCGCTTCATATTAATCTAAATTAGATAAATTAAAGTAAATTTAATTAGTTCCTTAACAATTGTCCACAAGTTAAAATCCAAATTTCAATTAGAAATCACAATTGAATATACGTTGTGCCTAAACATAATGAGATAAGTGTGTGTTGCGTGAGCAAAACAAATAACAATAAATCCAAAGCTACAGAAGCCGCCTCAGACAATGGCTGCGGGCCACACAGCTACAGACAGCCATACAAAAGGTCACTTAATCGACAAAAGAATATGTATAAAATAAAAAAGTAATATAAATAAATGGGATGGCAAAGTCGCATGCAAAAACAAAATGTGCGTGAGTGTGTGTGTGTATATTGTCTGCTTGGGTAAGTTGGTTGTTTTTGTTGCTCACTAAACTCTGGCCATTGCCACATTGCGTATACGTCCCGTTGGCCCATTGAAACTTTAGCTGACGCGTGCAAAAAAAAGTCGCAAGAAAAGCCAACTATATCCTACACGCCGAAGAGCAAATACCCTCTTGTTCTCTCATGTTTTCGATTGTTCATAAGACAGCCGTAAGGCTTAGTCATCCGATGACGAAAAGATTTTGCAAGTCGCGAGCTAACCAATATATCTTTAAAATTGGGAGACTAGTCTGGGATGTTGATACTGATCGATGAGGTACTTAATGCGTTACACAATTCGTCACAAAAGAATTCTACCCTCTGCAAGGGTATAAAAACGATAACGGCCAAAAAACTATGTTGAAGTCGCAATTTGCGTTGCCTTTTTTTAGCTTTTCCCCCAGCTTTTTCACCTAAATCGTCCCCAAAGCCTTTATTTGGTGCATCACGTCTGGCAAAGATTTAGATACGTTTTCGGGGGGCGTGGTCACATGTGCGGCACTTTTGCAGCTCGTTGAACTTCAAGAGTTGCGAGCGATTGAATGGCAAATGTTTGCCTTTGTGTGTATGAATCCTCATGTGTGTGTTAATAAGTGTGTGTGTGTGTGTGTGTGTGTGGGCGCACCTCGGCGATTTTCATAAATGTTTCAAAAATTTGGTGGTTAATCTTCTATTTGTTGTGCACAGACCAACAACAACAATAACAAAAAAAAGTGTCGTCGGCTTTGGTGCCAGTTTGAACTTATTCATATGCACTACTTTTGCAAGGGGACTTCGGTTAATTTAGTATTTTATGTGGGTCCAAGTAAGACTCAAGGTAACAAAACTTTAGAGTAAAAAAGAGCATAGATTGCTGAGTATTTAAACATACAATTATGTCGATTCAACTCTAAGCTTCACGTTATGAATGTCTAGGGAAAAAGATTTTCACCGAAATGCGTGTAGCTTAAATTAAATCTAAGTAAATAAAAACTTGGCGTTCGTAATTTTTATAAAAACTGAATTTTTACCCTTCTGCTAATGTTTTTAACTATATTTAAAGTATGCTAAAATAAATTTTAAAAATTGTTTTAATCGTTATTTTAAGCTTGTTGAAAGTATGCTATGCTAAAGTAAATATTTAATAATATAATTTTAATCAACATTTAAGATGATGCTCGCAATATTATGTAGTATATAATTGGGCCTTAATCAAAAGTATGGGCGTGCAAGCTAATCAACCTAGCTTATAAAAAAATTCGGCTGCAAAAAATTAAGAGGCTAGCCTTAAGTTTTGAATCCGGAACATCCTTTTTAATTAGCTCAAATCCTTAAGTCACTGTTTTGTATCCTTGTAATTTTGTCATGAAATGTGTAATGCATATAAATGTGTAATGCTCCATATAGAAATAATATTATTATTATAATAATAACTAAAGATTGCTCTACAACATATATAAAGGTTATTTCATTGATGATAGCCGTTGTTTGTTATTATATAATATTATAATATTATAAGTAGAATTAATACATTATAATATAATATGCAATTGTTTAAGTCGTGTATGTATAAAGAGATCTGCAAGTTGATTTCACGAATAATGTAATTACGAGAATTGTTATATCCTATCTACGTTATATAGAGATTGTGTTCAGAATATCTGAGAGTCAGGCTTGTGGACTATGAATTTGTTTGTTTGTGCATGTTGTTTGGCATTTTGCTGTTTTTGATGTTACCGCTCTTGTTGTTGTTGTTGCTGTTGTTGTTGTTCATGTGGGTTGATTTTTAATTAATGGTGCTTCGTATGCGTTTTGCGTCAGGGCCAAAACTTCCGGACTGCAGGACAACAGGACAACACAGCAAGCGGCAGCTGCGCTCTCCCCCCATATGCGTATGCATGTGTGTGGATGTGTATAGCTGTGCGTGTGTGTTTGGATTGGCCATAAGGAGCGGAAGCAGCGGCAGAGGCGTCCGCCAAATAAACCCACAGCAACAACAACAAGAAGAAAAAAACCCAAAAAAATTAAATCGATATTTTGCGGAAATCATAAAAAATTATTTATGTATACCCACGCACATGAGCGAAACATGGACATGGGCTCTCGCCGAGGACATGAATACAATGCGGACATGCGGTATATAATATGGTATGTATATATCTATATTTACTGTGCATATAAAAGTTGCCCCTACGCCTTGATTATAACATTTAATTGTTTTCCACGCATTATTAATGATGACTGTACGTGTTGTTGTTGCTGTTGTTGTTTTGTCCAGCAGCAGCTCGGCTCAGGTTGTAAATAATTTTCGGCATTCTCTTAATGAAATGAAAATGCAAATGAAAATAGAAATGAATGCGAGCTGCCTTGGTGGCGAATATGAAAGAAAATGGACTCAAAAAAATAGAAAATTAGCAAAGAAATGGAATGTGTGGAAAATTAACTAACCATAAAAAAGCGCAACATGCAAGGCAGAGAGCAACGCAAGGGACCGCAAGAGTAGATACTTCACCAATCAATCACAAAAAAGAAAGAAAAATAAATAGCTGCCGTTTTTTAATAGCAAAGTGCTGTTGGCCCTTAGCAAATAATACCGTGGTCGAAAGACAGTCGAAATGCCAATGAAAACTGGATTAATTTCTAAACTGAGTAAATTTAAAGTTGTTCAAGTTTGAAAAATAAGAGCAAGATAATACAGTTCTCTTGAAATTTTCACGGTTTAGATGCAAATATTATGCGACCCGTATAATGTTATATAAATTCAGTATATTTCTCTTAAAATCGATAGATTTTGCCTAAATAGTCACCTTTCCTTAAATGTTTCTTATGTGTAGTAAGAGTCCACGCTAACGTTTAATGCTAATCCCAGAGCGATTTTTAGGTTGCCTTTTTCGATTAGCTTGCGCCACTGTGCAATCGCGACGCCTGCAGCAAATTATCCTGACAGTAAACGAAGTCTATTGATACGCTGGACGGACGCGCACACTGGAAAACCACAAAGAGCAGGGCAAAGACCACAACACTGCAGAGGTTCATCCCGCCTGAGACGCGAGTCTGGGCGAGTCAGCTAACCACTGTCAGCTGGCAACTGGCAGCGGCCAATGGGCAATGGGCAAATGGGTGGCGATTGGCGACACATAAAAGTAGCAGTAGCAGTAGCAGTGGCAGTAGCAGTAACAGTGGCAGTGGCAGTAACAGTGGTAGTAGCCGCAGCAGCTGCAGGCGCCATCAAAACTTGTCCTTGTGGCTGGCGCACTTTAATTTCAATTTGTCGGCCTCTCCCTAAGCTGACAACTGCTCAGCGCCTGAGATGTTCTGATACCCTGCACTCATTGCAAATGGATAAAAGCGAAATAGAAAGACGGCACGAAGCTACGATAGTCTGTAGAGCATAAAGACCTGGTACGACTTAACTGCGTTCATTTCTTTGTCGATCCCAGTGACTATGTTTAGACTATCCAATTTATGTAAAATATCGATATCTGCTTCTAGTTTCTTTAAATCCAAAAAATAACGATTTGCAACCTGTTATTTTTTAATATTATAAGAGCTATAGAGACAAAATTTTATCCCCAAAAAGTGGAAGAATGGAAGAAGACATTTTAAGTGGCATTCATTTCACATTCAATCTCTCAAAATGTCATAAGGCTCGGCTAAAGGTGTTCGAGTTCGGGTTTGAGGACAACAAGAAGTTATGCATAGAGTATCTTATAGTCGAGTACTCTCAACTCGAGTACTTTTACTTGTTTTTATTGTTGCTGTGGTAGGGGCTGTTTTTGGCTCACGGCAATTTATTGTTTTCCACTTTACGCCAGTGTCCCACTGAACGGCGCGTTCTTGTTATTATTTTGTGTGTGTGTTTTTTGTTGTGCGTGCTTGTGTGTGTGTGTGCGGTTCTTAAATTTCCGAGTGTTTGCCGTTTGTCGCGTGCGCTTTGAGCTATTGAGCCACTTGTCAATTGTGAGCACTTGCGATGGAGGTTTTGTCCACTTACCATTACGGCGTTACGCTTGAAGTCCATAAAGTTCTTCACTTCGGCCGCTAATTCACGCAGCAGGATAATGCCGTCCTTGCGCTTCACTTCGATGTCATTGTCCTTAAAGCGCTGCAAAAACAAAAGTGAAATAAAAATAAAAACAATTGTCAGTAAACAATAAACTATGAAATTTATATTGTAGACCGCGCCCAACATTTGGGGTAGTCCCGCAGCTATTAAAAAAGGGGTTGAAGGGTTATAAAACTTTTTCATTTGCCGTTCCATTATAATGTCCACGGCATTAAATTCAAATTTACTGCTACTCAGCGATTCTTCGAGTGGTTATTAAACTGATTTTAATGCATCTTTATTAATTTAATAAGATTTTCATTGGCCAATTATTTCAATTAGTTGAGCGTTAAATTGCGCACGCAAATCGCTGGAATTACCAGCCGCGCCCTGAGGCACTTCAAATTCGTCTGAATTACCACCAAATTCGAAGTTAACCAGCGATTTTAGCTCAGAGGAATTTTAATTCTTCAGAATTAAATTGCCAACAATAATTGGAAAACCAGCTCAAGGAAAAATATAAACAATTTAACAGTAATTATATAAAAGTGTTAGAATAACAACTTTTATATAACTGAATTCATTATTTATCTCAAGTAAATTTCCGTAAACGTTACTTAGATTTATGAGAATCGCAAAGAAAGGTAATATTTTAGGAGGTATAAGAGAAAGAACAAAGAAGAACAAAGAGAGTGAGAGCGATAGTGTGTGACACAAATTCAAAGACATATCAGATATTACGTAAGACGAGTAAGCGTATACTACAAGAAAAACTATTTAAATCTTGAGGTTACTTTAGGCCAATATATAGCATAGAATATTGATGTCTTTTTAAGAAAAAGCCCCATAGGCTGATCAACAAGAATATACTAGTTTTATCTTCTTATTATTATCAAGGCTCTAAAAGTTGTACAATATATGAAAATATTATTATAGTTAATGTTATTTTATTTAAAATTTAAGCCTAGGTTTCTGGATGTGGAAATTCGACTCAAGCATAATGGCGGCCTTTATTCTTCCCCATTTGTCTAATAATTTTTTTACACATTTTCAATCATTAACCAAGCAGAGTTCACTGACTTATTGCTTATCGTCTTAAGGACTGCCAAGTTTTTATTCTGGCCAAAACGCAAAAGTCAAAGTCATCGTGTACTATTTGCCCACATTCGACAGAAATGGATGAAACGCGTCTTCTGTCAAATGCAGCGGACATAATTTGGGCGTTTTAAATCCCCATGTGGAATTTATAATGCTCTAAAAGACACACACCCACTCACGAACGAGCGCAGTGATTGCTACATGTATTTGTGCCACTTTCTTTTTAGCTGCAATTCACACACACACACACATAACACACACATAGCCGACTGTGTTGGTGTATATGTATGACATTTTCTTTAGCGAACTAATGAATGCCTCAAAGAGTTTTCCCATGCAGTTTTAGTTTTGTGGCAGCGCAAGCTGCATTTTGGCTCGAACCGCAAATGTTTGCAGTGTCTCTATGTGTGTGTTGGTGTTGGTGTATGTGTGTGTGTGTGTGTGTGTGTCCACACAAAAAGCAGCTTCTACTAGCTTCTTTGAAGGCGTGTGTCTCAGTCCCTGCTGCTGGCACTGAATCAGTTAAGAAAAGTTTTCTAATTAATTCGCTGGGGACATGTACAGACACACACACACACACAGCCAAAGACATACACATACACGCCCACACAAGGCCACACCCACAGACACACAGAGACTAGAAATATGCTGCCAGGACGTTGATGATTACAAATGCCGACGAAAATATAATTTAACTGACAGTTTCTCGTTTTTGCCATGCGACAATTGTTAAACGGCGCCAAGTGGGCCGCCAAGCCACGCCCATACGCAGCTAATTGGTTTGCCCATTTTTGGGAATGCATGAAAAGTCATAAAATGCATTTGCAGGCCCACAGGCAGCAGGCGGCTACGTAATTTACAGCCCGCGCCTGAAAGTATGCTAGACTTTGTCTTTTCTTTCTCGGAAAATGGCATAAAACATGGGAAAAAAGGCGAGGAGAAACTCATCAAATCTCTTATAAAAATACCATTTTGCCCGGCGCCTTCGAACATTAAAACAAATGACAACACGTTCAATGGAAAGATGATTATGTTTCGGAATGAGATGTGTCTGTGTGTGTTTGTGTGTGTGTGTGTGTGTGTGCAGGGGGGGCCATCAAATCAAAAGCAAAGCAAAATGTGTCAGCCATTAACATGGCCACTAAATGCGTGTCTCGTAGCAGCCAGATTCATGTGTATGTTGGTTGTATGTGTGTGTGTGTGTATGTGTGTGTGGGAAAAGTTGGCTAGAAAATGCTAAGGAAAATGACGCCAAAGTTGAAAGCGAAAAAGAGAGAGAGAGAGAGCGCACGGGGCAACTGTCTGCTGTTCAACGGCATGTGAAATTTAATTAGACACATTAAGCAGCCAAGTGATTTTTAAGAGGGAAGCATCTACCATACAAAATTTATATATAGATGCAGACGAAAGTCGATGGCATGAAAAGTCGAAAATTATCTTCATCTCTACATAATTTGGCATGTGAGAATTAAAACTTAATAAGGCACATGCGAAATTTTTAGCTGCATTAAAAATCTGTTTTGTTCTGAAGTTATAAGAATAACTTACTATTGTATACTCTCCGTAGGGGAAAGGAGAGGCTTTCCCATTGTAAAAATTTTCACTTTGGGAAAAACAACTGCCCCTTTGTAAGACTTCTGATAGCTGGAAGTAGCATTAGTGTACTAAGCGGATAACATTTTATTGACTGAATAGCGCAGAATAATCTTTAATACGTTTAAAGACTTTTCCACATACAGCTAACAAAATTGATTTGAAATTATGCTAGAATTCGCAAGAAAGTTTAATCTGAACGGTTATGAAATAAAGCTGATTCTGTAGGTCAGCATTATCTATTGATAACACAAGATGGCAACACTGTCCGTAAAGTCCGGCGTCCAAAAACACAAGTTGAAATAAGTTACTTAAAAAGATTATGTTCAAATAAAGTATTTTAAAGGCAAAAATGTCAGTTTCAAATTAAATCATTTAAATTGTTTCAATTTAGTTTTTTCTCGATCCGCAAACAATCTCTCTTATTTTGGACCATTCCCTTTAATTTGTGTGTTACTCTGTGTAACCGTCTACTTTTATCTTCTATGCCAAATTTTATCGATATATGTATGTCTATTGCTGTAATATATTTAACATTTTGATTGGATAATTTAAATTCTAATCCTTTACGTTAACCTTCTGCAACTTTGCAAAGCGAATAAACTACATGGTATTGCAAGGAATGTTAAAATGTCAATATACATTCGAAATCATTTATACAAAAATAAATAATATTACTACCTTTTTTTCGTTTCATGATCTCAATTAACCTGAAATATATATTTGCCAAAACAATACAAACAACAACTTGTTAATAAACTGATGCGCAAGTGAAAATGTTTAAAAAATAAAATCCAAATATTCGCACATCTTACAAATCACAATTCTCAATTGTTTGTAGATCCAGGTAAATGAGCATGCACCGAAATTTCTGCTTACTAATGATAAACAATTGTCTTAAAAATGTATCTATATAAATATTCACTTCGTGTTTCGCAACTAATAGACTTAGAGATACCCTCAACTAGGCCTCTAATGTCGACGTTGGTATTTTCTTTCATGTAAGATAACTGGAATAACTGCTTAATTAACAAAAAATAAAAACAATTATAGAAAATTTAAATATAAATTTTATCAGTGTGTGGTAAGGCAAATCTTAAATTTCGATGCGTTTTTCTGCTCGACAAGGGTCTGCACAAAACTAATATACCCTTTTACCCATTTCACTGAGTACATTTTTTTGATTTTTTAATATAAAAAGGCAGGCATATTGAAAGATTTAAATGAGTATAGCAAAAATGTTCGGGCAATACGTGTGTCTTCTGCAGTTCTTTGGATTAGTCTCGATATGTTTGTCATATAAATTGCATCCCGTTATAACGCCTGGTAAGTTTTTCAAAGGGAATACCTTGATCCTTTTTATTGAAGCATATTTCATATAGATATACCATCGAACACGAACCTTACCACGGCTCCATTCGTTAGGATCGCTTATGGATTTTACTTTTTCGAGGTGAACAAACTGAAAAACTGGTTCGATGCTTACGAAACGTGTCGTTGCATGGACGCTGAGTTGATATCAATCGAAACGATCGACGAATGGTATGAAATTAATCGATATATACGTGCAATGAATATCGAACATTTATATTGGACTTCGGGCACGGATCTGGCCAAAGAAGGCGCGCACATTTGGTTTGCAAACGGACAACCCATAAATATAGATATCTGGGCCAAAGGACAGCCCGACAATGCAGGCAAATCAGAGCACTGTCACGAATTGGGATGGAAAACAAATCATACGAGCGGGTTAAACGATCGCCCATGTACTTTTTCCAGTCGCTACATTTGCGAAGCACGACAACCAATAACTGCCTCATTTGTTATTTGGTAATGATTGGACTATTAAGATAGTTTTTAAACTCTTAAAGAGTGTACTGAATGTGTAACCCATATATTAATTATATATATTATAGATCAGATTTAACAGCCGAGATGAATTAGCCATGTCTATCTGTCCGTTCTATGTCTGCTTCTATGCGAACTATTCTGGCAGTTTTAAAGGCAGTACATATGATCCGGCCGGATCAGACCGCTATATCATATAGCTGCCATAGGAACGATCGATTATCAAATTATCTTACCCAATCATGGCATTAAATATTTAAAATATGCTGCTTATATGTGTGTCAAGTCTTAATAAGGTCGCACTACTATATTATATAGCTCTTTAGGAATAATCGGTTGGTAAATGAGTTTTTGTATGGCAAGCAATTCGTTTTCCAAGATAATTTCACCAAACTCAGCTTGTACGAGCTTCACTATTCTCACATATCTGCAAAACCGTAAGACAAATGTAAACAAGGATATAAAATCATATCCTTAGAATATATTTTTAATTTTTTTGAATGCATATGTAAAACATATTT